AGTCCTTCTATTTTCACAAAAAGTTTAGTCTTAATTAATTTGATTCCTTTTGTTAATGACCCATCCAAGCAGTCGATTGAAGCTTTCTGTCAAATGTTCTCTGTGATCAGCATATGATTTTCAAACTACAATTCCAATCCATACAACCAAAGACAGGTATCATTTAATCAAATGCCTTATTTTTTAATTTCCACCTTTCTTTCTTTGCAGTGGTGAAATATTCATCTTGTTGATCTCCTTATTTATCAGAATTTGAATATATACACACACACAGATAATGGGGCAAGCAGTTGACTTAACCGAAGGATTCGATCACATCACAGTCGATGTAAAAATGCTATCAGATTCACTTCTAAAGAGCCTGGGAGACAAATTGCAGAAGCTTCCTCCCTTGTCCAGTAAATGTAGCATTTGTAAAGTTCCTATTCATCTACGAGAACGAAATGAGAAAGCCTTCACTCCTCGGGAAATTTCAATTGGTCCACTTCATCACAATAATCTCAACCTCAAACACATGGAAGAACACAAACTGAGGTTACTAAAGGACTTTCTGTCACGAGCAAAGGTAAGTCTACATGACTGTGTCCAACTTTTGAAGAAGAAAGAATTGTACCTGCGAAACTGTTATGCAGACCCCATTGAATTTGACAGTGACAAGTTTATTGAGATCATTCTGGTGGATTCTGCTTTCATTCTTGAACTATTCTTCAGAAATGTCTCAGATAATAACCAGATGCAGAATCAGTATGATCATTTCTTTGGCGGCCCATGGAAGCTACGGTTCATTAAAACTGACATGCTTCTACTTGAAAATCAAGTTCCTTTCTCCATCATCGAGGACCTTCTTTTATTAACAAAATCAGACATTCTTCCCATAAAGAACGATGTTCGGCGTTCAGCAATCATGCTAACCTACGAGTTCTTCAAAAGGAAGTTGAATCTGCTAGATATGGATAACTTCAACATTGAGGAAAAAGTGGGTGAACTGGAAATACAACATTTTGTTGATTTTGCCAGAATTTGTTTTGTGCCTCCAGTTCTTCCAAGCAAAAACAAACTAAAGTGCGTGACTATGCCAAGGGCAACAAAGTTACGCGAAGCTGGAGTGAAGTTCAAGGTGAAGAACAGCGGGAGTCCTTTTGACATCAGATTCAAAGATGGGGTGTTGGAAATCTCACGGTTGAGAATAAAAGATGCGACGGAGATTCTTCTGAGGAATCTCATTGCATACGAACGTTGTCACTTGCACGATAATTATATGAATGACTATCTCTTTATCTTGGATCGTCTGATAGAGACACCAGGTGACGTGGAGTTACTGATGCATCGTGGGATTATAGAGTCAAAATTATCGGGAACTCAAGAAGTGGCTTCTCTGATGAACGAGCTTTCGCCAGGAATGACCATGGCGAGAAGAAGGTTCTACTTCTCAGATCTGTGTGAGAAGGTGAGTGATTATTATAGAGTGCCTTGGCATAGATGGAGGCTAACTCTGAAAGAGGACTATTTTAGTAATCCCTGGGCCATCATCTCTGTGATTGCAGCAATGTCACTTCTTCTACTCACCTTCGTGCAGACTTATTATAGTGTCATGTCCTACTATCTTAGGTAGTATATATATGTGTGTAATTAAATAGGTTTCTCTGCGTAGCAGATTATCATCTATCACAAATATGTTTATGTCTGTGTGTGTTCCTGTCTCTCTATGTATATATATAGAAGAGGGAGACCTGGTAGTTTAATCTTCATCGACAGATCTATGGTCGAGTTACTGTGATTATCCTACTATAGTTGGTTGTTATAGAAAAGTATGTGTATAGACATTCGTGTGGATAGACAAAGTTGATCTAAAGGCTAAAGTTTTCAATAGTAATTCAGAATTGTTTGTTCGTGGATTGATTTTTTAATCCGTCATAACTTTTCTAGATGCCCCAAAATGCTAGCATTGGTTTTTTACTGTGGTTCAATGGTTTTGCTTTGTTGAAAATTTCTTTGCTTTTTGGAGAAATCGACTATTGACAATGTGAAGGAGAAGAAATTATCTACTACTTCCGATCCTAATTATAAGAACTAGTTGACTAATTTGAGGAGATTAAAGGAAAAAATTAAATCAATTATTTGTAACAAATATGTATTATTTTTCCTAAAATATACTTACTAATCAAGTGTATTGGCTAGAACTACTATTGTTAGAAGGATTACTTTGAGAAAAAATACATAAATATGAGAGACAAAATGGATTGGGGTCTTATATTTAAAATTAAAATTAAAATCATACAAGATCTTATATTAAGAATCGGAGGTAGTATAAATAAAGATGAATGGAGAAGCCGAGAAGGGCAAAATATTATCAACTAGCAAGCCCTTTTCACATAAACGTCCATTGACGGCGTCAAAGGGAATTAATGAGTTCCAAGGCGTGGGGTAAATCTAATCCACATGTCAGGTGTTGATTGGGGAACAGGACAAACTGGATATAACGGTTGCCCTTAATGTAATTCTTAGTATTTTAAATTTGCTGTCATTTTGATTTTGATACCTCAAATTTCAAACCACATAAATTTTAGTCTTTTTGGGGGCCAAAATAGTTTTTGTCTTTATTGAATTATAAAGACTAATTTTTAAATAAAAAGAAACTTGAAGAATTAAAACCTATAGTTTGAGACTTGAGAGATCAAAATTAAAATAAAAACAAATTTAAAAGATTAAAAATTGTATTAGGAAGTTGGTGTTTTGTGAAGACATACGAGATCTCTATTGGATCTTTTGTTATGATCGGATACAACAAGAAGCTAGTGCAAACTCATCGCATTCCACTAATGAGGGAAAAAAAAATATTCTCTCTTCTGAGCAAAAATACTTTCAATCGGAGTCATATCTAGGGTTGTTGAAGAGAACAAAGTTGTTAAAATATAGTACAATTATATATAATACTTCTTAATAATTTGATATGATGTGTGAGTTTTAATTACCAATTTAGATTAGGTGAGCATATAAAATGCTCAAACTTATAGTATGAATGGCTCATGTTCAGATTGAGCGAGTCAAAATATATCTTAGTTTTTATTATAATAAGGTACCAGATGTAAAACAAAATAATCTTTTAAATTATTAGGCTTTTGTAGGAAAAGCAAACATAGGGGTAGGTATGGCACCTAGAACGGCCTTAAAAAGTTGGTAAATAAAAAGAAGGGCATACCTTTTTTTTTTTTTGAAGAATCCCAAAAAAAGTCTTTGAATTTTAAATTCTAAATCAAGTTTGTTTACTAAAATTGATAATATTTGAAAAGTAAATGACAACATAATTTTGTAGTCATTTTTCTCTCTTTTTTTTTTGGTTAGGCACAAATATTCATGTTCGAGGTACTATCAGACAATAAATATGGACACTTCTTCTAGCAGAAATTCAAACATTAGTTTATTTTGAGGAACTAACCCCTTCTATTACATCCAACCCCCATTGATTGAAATTAAGTTATTATTAATAATGGATCTCTTAAAAATTTTGTTCTGAAAAATATATTAGATAAATTATAAATTTATTAATTTTGGCTTGCAAATAATAGAGAAAGATTAATGAACATTTTTATTTATTACAAGTTCCTTAAGGAAATTATTAGTAAATTAATTTATTTATATTAATAATTAATTTTTCTAAAAAAAATTATTGCTTGCGAGTATTTTTGTCATTTGTATGCAATCATAAATTTTAACCTCGCTCCCCACTTCTTGGGGCCACATCTGATGCCCTCCTTTTCTTGTCAATAATGATTCTGTTGGGCTTCACCTTCACGCCCTCTCTTTGTAATTTGGACTTGTTCACCCTCATATTTTCCGGGAGAGAGGAAAAACATTAATGGACTTCCGTTTGCCCCAAATATATGCACTATCTCTAGTTTTTAATATAAGATTAAATTGACTAATTTAAACATGATCTCTTTGAAATAATTATATATATTATTAGATTATATATCAATTTATAAATCAAACAAATTAGTTTGAAAAACAAATGATAAATATAATATTTTAAATTAATTTATTTAACTTTTTTAATTTTTTCAAATTAGTCAAATGAGTCTCATAAAAAGACATGAGATATTATATATATATTCCCATGTCAATAAATACATGATCTCTACCACTGGCCTCTTGGCCGAGTGGTGTTTGTGTGTGTGTTTGGGTGTGTTCGTGCGGGTTCGAGCCCGCTCCTTGTATCACCAAAAAAAAAATACATGATCTCTTTGTAATGGGTCTTATATTAATGAACGAAGGTACTATTTCAAATTCTTAATATAAGAACTAGTTTGACTTTTATTTTAACCCTAAATATAATATTTTAATCCACTTTGACTCTCATATTTATCTTTTTTTAAAATTATCGTTGTAGTGGTTGCACATATTAAAGGTTTCATCAAATGATAATTATAACTAATGCACTTAATTAGTAAGAGTGTTTTAGGAAAGATAACATCTATTTATTACAAATAAATAACTTAATTATCTTAGTCTACTCAAATTAGTCAACTAGTTCTTATATTAAGGACTAGATAGACTCCTCTAGTCCTATTTATAAGTAATTTTTAACATGCTTCATAAAAACCAACGAAAACTTTAAATTTCATTAACTTTTATTTAAAATTCAACAACTTTTTAATTTTATCTCTATTTAATGTACATTATACTTTATGTAAATATAGTCAACACAATAATAAATGTGGGGTAAAATTATACATTTATAAAAATGTCTTCTCTTTCTATACTATAAATAGGATCAGAGGAGTATTACATGTGTGTATTCCTGGTCGAACTTCTGGTGCGAACTTTCCAAAGCTGAACGAAAAGTAGGTCAAAAAAAAAAAACGGAGGGGCTAGGTAGCAGCCACCATTGACTTCTTGGTGGCCTATTGGCAACTTGCAAATTACATCGTTGGCGTCTGCCTAGGAGAAAAGAAAAGGTTTATAATGAAAGATTCAAGGAAGACCTCTGTCTTCTTCGGCCATTACCAAATTATATTGGGGAAGCCAGCTCCATCAGAAGAAAATGGAAGACCATTTCATCATTTCTGGTTCGCTCAAAAAGGTAAACTCTTCACCTTTTCTTAACTTTTCCTCTGTTTTAGACCATATATATGATTCCTGTCCTTCGATTTTGCTTCTGATGTGTCATATTTCTATTAATCCTTGCAAACACATGCATATATTTACCTTTGACTCTCACACCTGTGAAGAAATTCTATCAATTCATGATTCTGTGTTTGCCTAAATATGTTTGTAGTGATCAAACACACGACTTGCAATCTGTGTTTCAAAATTCAAACATAAGACAATATGGAGGAGGTAAATGATAGAAAAGAAGGATTCAACCATATCAGTATCGATGAAAAAGTGTTATCAAATTCACTTGCAAAACGTTTGGAAGACAAATTGGAGAAGCTGCCTCCTCTGTCACCTGAATGCTGCATATATCGAGTTCCTGCAGAACTACGTGAAGGCAATGAAAAATCCTTCACTCCTCAAGTTATTTCTATTGGTCCTCTCCATCACAACAACGAAAAGCTCAAAGATATGGAACAACATAAAATGAGATTCTTGAATGACTTTCTCTCACGGATTCAAGTAAGCTTAGATGACTGTGTTGAACTGTTGAGGAGAAAAGAAGTGAAGTTGCGAAATTGTTATGCAGATCCCATTGAGTTTGATAGTGATAAGTTCATTGAGATCATTCTAATCGATGCAGCTTTCATTGTTGAAGTGTTCTTGAGAAATAGTATTAGTTCTGATGATTACAAGGTTCAGAATAATCGACATGATCATTTTTTTGGTAGACCATGGAAGCTAAAGTTCATTAAGAATGACATGCTTTTACTTGAAAATCAAGTTCCTTTCTTCATCATTGAGGACCTTCTTTCACTCACTGGATCATCCATTCCCATCAGGAATGATCACAGGCATTCAGCAATCAAGCTAACGTACGAGTTCTTCAAAACGAGAATGTATCTGAAGGATGTTGATGCCTTCAATGCCATGGAAAAAGTAGGCCAATCCGAAATACAACACTTTGTTGACTTCGCCAGAATTTGTCACTTGCCACAAGAAATGCCACACAAAAGTAAACTAAAGTCTCTAACTTTACCTACTGCGACACAGTTGCACCAAGCAGGAGTGAAGTTCAAGGTGAAGCAAAGTAGGAATCTTTTTGACATACAGTTCAAAGATGGAACCTTGGAGATTCCACGCTTGAGAATAAATGATGCTATGGAGAACTTTCTGAGGAATCTCATTGCATATGAACATTACCACTTGAAAGATAACTATGTGAATGACTATGTCTTCATCCTGCATCGCCTTATCGACACGCCTGAGGATGTGGAATTGCTTGCTCAGAATGGGATTATTGAGTCAAAGTTAGCAGGTAATGAAGAGGTGTCTTCTGCTATCAATAAGCTATCTCCCGGAATGACTCTGATCAGATTCAATTTCTACTTCTCAGATCTGTGTAAGGAGCTCAATGATTACTATAGAGTGCCCTGGCATAAATGGAAGGCAACTTTAAAACAGGACTACTTTACAAATCCATGGGCCATTATCTCTGTAATTGCAGCAATTGTGCTTCTTATACTCACCATAGTGCAGACATATTATGCAGTGGCTTCTTACTATTAGTTGTTTCCCAAAAAAAAAAATGTTACAAATTTTTTTTTTCCGTGGTACAAAAGTTTTCGGCAAGAGATTGGACTCACCCACAAGCCAAGGATAGGGAGAACTAACTCATGATCTATAGGAACTAGCCCAAACAGGGATGTGCATACATCCTGTTAATCCTAACCTTAGTAGTATTCCCGCTTCACTTAGCTGCGAGTATGCCTCCCTAAGTGCCACGACAATCTCCAAAATTGAACCTTTTCTGTTTGGTAAGAGTGTCCAACTCTTTGACTACTGAACCCATAGTGCGATGTGTTGTTACAAGTTTATGATGATAGATAAATTTATATTTGATTTTTATGCAAATTAGCTGAGCATTTGCCATGTATTGTACTGATTTGAGCTTTTGAGATTAGTTATTGATGTTGAACAATTCGTTTTTAAAAGGACAGATGGAGGCATGAGTTTGTAATTACAATTCAACTTGTTGCTTTCATGTATAGAATAGTTGCTTTTAACAAAACAGAGGAGTTAAAGGCATTATAATTTGATAAAATGGGTTGAGAGGGGCAGAGCAGGAGAATAGATTTAGGAATTTTGGTTACTGGTGGGTGAGATATTCTTTTTATATTTTTTTCGCATTTTATTTTAAAGACTGTGACAATTTATTATTTATACTTCTAAGAATAATTTAAGTTAAATCAACTTAGTAATAATGTTTCTACTTCTCTATTCAAAATTAACAAACGTATTTAAACTAATATCAAATTTTGACCCCAAAAAAACTCATATCAACTTCATGAACTTACACAAAAGATTCACAAGAATTGCCCTAAAATTAAATAAGTATTGTAGTGAAAATACAGAAAAATTGCATGAAAATTAACCACGTGGAAATTGCATGAATTTGAGCAAAGATTACACGAAAAATTATTTTTAAAACAGAACAACACAAAGTAAAAAGTGGAAATCTATTGGCAAAATGAAACAAAGCAACAATCGTATTAATAAATACTAAAATGACGGCATTTTTCTTTCTAATTTTTATTTATATAATGATTTATACAAATAAATACAGAAGGTCCCATTTCACGGAAAAAGTGCATTGATAGGCAAATAATGTAACGTAATCAATACAAAGATTTTTTTTTTTCCCCAGTTTGCATGCAGTGAATTAATTGCAAACCCAAAAAAAAAAAAATGGCCTGAATGCTGTACATATTCTAAGATTTAACACAACTTTTTTTAGTTAATTTTTTAAGCTTTTTTTTTTTACTCATTTCATGAGGTACGCACAATAATTTTTTAATTCTGAAATATTTTTATAATATTTAAAATTTTGAAATTATTATATTGTATCGCGTGGGAACTGGAAAATATCTAGTAATAAGAAAAACATGAATACAAAATAAATTTTATTTCAGTTAATGAATTAATAATGACAATGACAATAATAAGGCGGAACTAAAATGTAAAAATTGGAAGAAAATATTCTTCATGATCATGACCAACTGGCTCGTCACCACATTCTGGTTGGTTCAGGATGCTTCTCTGTCTTCCGCCAACAAGAAACTGCCAAGTGCAAATCTTCTCTTTTGTGTGCAGCTTGAGCTTCCCTTCTCATTTCTGCTATCCTCAGAGTCCTTCACTTCCTTTTATCCGAATTGTAAGTCAAGCTAAATCCTTCTGGATTTCCCTTTCCACTCTCATTTCCCCTTTTTTGATCATATAATTGCCGGATACCGATTTCTTCTCTAGTTGATAGATGAAGTCTTAATTCTCAGTTCTCCAGAACCATTTCTCCTTCTTTGCTTTAGTTAGTTGATCATACATATTGATATTGGGAGCTGAGTTGGAATCTCTACAATGAAGCCTTGTAATAGAATCCTAAGAAGATATAAAAGCTCATCAATTTTTGCATTTTCTCCGAACGAGCTCGATAATTCAGTCAAGGACATCTTGTCCAAGTTACATCCCAATTCAATACATCACCGTAGATACCATACTAGGAATGCTGAAATTGCGTGGTATACCCGAGTGATCAATACGAATTGGAGAAATTTTAACATTTCTCGTTCAGATAGGAATCAATCTAGACTTTTTAGTGCTCCCGGCGGTGTCCATATAGGGGTTAGCAGGAGAATTTCATCGATACTGAGCTTATATTCCTATGTTAGAAATCATTCTACATCAGTTGATTCTCGTGTTAATGAGAAAAACTTTGAGAAAGTTCACATTCAAGGTGGATTAAATGTGAAGCCCTTTGTGATTGAAAGAATTGAGACTGATCAAAACAAATTGGAACAAGTCTCTGCAGAAACAATTAATGGTTCGCATGTAAATATAGATAATCTGAAGGGTTTGAATAAGGTTGAAAGGGAGGTGACTGAGATTGAAAAGGATGCTTGGAAGCTGCTTCGAGGTGCGGTTGTTACATACTGTGGGAATCCAATTGGGACCGTTGCAGCTAATGACCCTGCTGACAAACAGCCACTAAATTATGATCAAGTCTTTATCCGTGATTTTGTTCCATCAGCACTTGCCTTTCTCCTCAATGGCGAAGGGGAGATTGTCAGGAATTTTCTACTTCACACATTACAGTTGCAGGTATTTTGTTTTCATAATAGCTTCATCGGTTTGTACTTTTATATGGTGTTTCTTCTGTTGAATGCAAAAGTATCTCTAAGCATTATGCTTTTAGTAAGCAAGCCTCATCCGGTAAGAATTGCTGCGTATATAGTTTTCCAACTGTTAAGATTGTGCAGTTTAGCTTTCCTGCAAGTTGACAAATTTTTAGGCAGTCTGTTGCTTAATGAATGTTAGGGGCTTATTTCAGCTTCTGCATAAAGGATGAGCCAAAAGGGGGCCTTTCGATGTCTTATTAACATTCCTTATTTTCTCATTTTGAATTCTCATGAGTAAAATCTCATTGTCTTGACTGTTTAAATTGCATTTAGTTAATGACATTGTTTAAAGTGCAATTAGTTAATAAGTGATGGAAGAATGGCGCAGAGGGAGTGTTGTTAGAGGTTGTGTCAATAATGGTGGTCGATTATTCTTTTATGGAACTTCAGTAATTGGCTCTTGATGACCTCGCCTTATTTAACAATTGAATTAAAAAACAATTGTTTACATTTGCCAGAGTTGGGAGAGGACTGTCGACTGCTACAGCCCAGGGCAAGGTTTAATGCCAGCAAGTTTCAAAGTTAGGACTGTGCCCCTTGATGGAAGCAATGAAGCATTCGAGGAAGTTCTGGATCCTGATTTTGGTGAATCAGCTATTGGCCGCGTTGCACCTGTTGATTCTGGTATGTTGAATTTCACCGTGGAAGCTCAGACATTATGGTTTTGCTGCATGGAATGTTGCTGCACAATCATTGGGCTTTGATATTCTTATTGACAAGTACAATATTATTAATATTGTGGTAAAGCATGAAAATTGTTTCATTGATTTTACGTTTGTAAGACCTCCTTGCCTATCTCCTGTTTATATTACAAATTTATAATCCAATATCACGCCTCAAATATTAAAGCCCTATCTTGAATATCTTGCTGACAGGATTATGGTGGATTATCTTGTTGAGAGCCTATGGGAAGCTCACTGGTGACTATGCTTTGCAAGAGAGAGTGGACGTCCAGACAGGAATAAGGCTGATTCTCAAACTCTGCCTAACTGATGGTTTCGATATGTTTCCTTCTCTTTTGGTTACTGACGGTTCCTGCATGATTGATAGACGGATGGGGATTCATGGTCATCCTCTTGAGATCCAAGTAAGCTAAGAGTGTTCTAAGCTAATCTTGTTATTTCTATATCGCGTTGTGTACTTGAGATGAACATTGATGATGAGCTAGTGATTTACTGAAACGAGCCCTGATTCATTTTATAGTTGGCCCCTGAAGCCCATCTTTATGACAAAATCTGAGGACAAACCCTGGTTTTCTGAGCTTTTCTGAGTTCTCTGGAAGGCCTTATGATGCTCATTGCACACAAAGATGGTTAAACAAAAGGAAAAAAACTATTCTTTTTAAGATACACCGAACAATTTCTAAAATTCATTCAAGAAAACTAGATTCTCTATTAGTACATTAACGCTAGATTGGAATGTTTAGATGTGAGCATTCTGACTAACTCATGGTGAAAATGATTGTTATTGCTTATCTGAAGGTTACTGCATCATCATTTTAGAATTAGCTTTGAATGGGGCGTGCACTTTCAATGCGTAGAAAAGAATTAAACTTAGCTACCTGTCTATTACATTGAAATGGGATAATTTATAATGCTGTGCGGTTGCATTATTAGCCTGGAAAAATACTAGGAATGATAATTAAAGATAGTAGCCACCTGAAATTCCATGTAGCAATCTACCACGTTACATCATTGATTAGACTCTATCCCCCATTTTCCTATCTGAAAATTAATAAATCTTGCCAGTCTGAATACTGCTCCCTTGCTTAAAAGTTTCTCTTCTGGTGGTCTTGAATTTCTATTTTACAGGCATTATTTTACTCAGCCTTACTTTGTTCTCGTGAGATACTGACAGTCACTGATGCAACCAAGAATCTTGCTGCTGCCATTAGTAATCGCCTGAGGGCACTCTCCTTCCACATGAGGGAGTATTATTGGGTCGATAAGAAGAAGATTAATGAAATTTATCGTTATAAGACTGAAGAATATTCTACCGATGCTGTTAACAAATTTAACATCTATCCTGAGCAAATTCCTTCTTGGCTAGTAGACTGGATCTCTGAGGAAGGTGGCTACTTCATTGGCAATTTGCAACCTGCTCATATGGATTTTAGGTTTTTCACACTGGGAAACCTTTGGTCCATTGTTTCTTCTCTAGGCACCACAAATCAGAACCAGGGAATATTGAATTTAGTGGAGGCCAAATGGGATGACCTTGTCGGTCAAATGCCTTTTAAGATTTGTTATCCTGCGCTAGAGCGTGAGGAATGGCGCATAATCACTGGTAGTGACCCGAAGAACACGTAAGCTTCTTTGGTTTTCTTTATTTGGTTTAGGTTATTCTTTAATTCGCTGGGTGCATTCTTTCCCTCTGATGAAGTCACGTGCAAATACTGAATTACTGGTGAAATTGCTTGCAGGCCTTGGTCATACCATAATGGTGGATCTTGGCCAACCCTTCTGTGGCAGGTAAGTTTGATATTTGTTCAGAACAAATGATCTATGAGATAATTGATTTGTCGACATACTTAAATTTTATCCATGATTGGAGGACATGACAATTAGTACGTTATAAATTTCAGTTCACTTTAGCCTGCATCAAGATGGAAAGGCCTGATTTGGCGGAGAAGGCTGTTAACTTGGCAGGGAAAAGGCTTTCCATGGATAAATGGCCAGAGTATTATGATACCCGAAAAGGAAGGTTTATTGGCAAGCAGTCCCGGCTGATGCAGACATGGACTATTGCTGGTTTCCTTACCTCAAAGATGCTCTTACAGAATCCAGAGAAGGCATCCTTGTTGTTTTGGAAGGAGGATGATGAACTTCTTCAGTCTTGTATCTGCATGCTTAGCAAAGCTGCTAGAAGGAAGTGTTCGCGTTTTGCTGCAAGGCCACAAATTCTTGTTTGAAAGAGGAGCATCTCAAAGTTTCAACCCTCTTCTTTCAGGCTCCGGTGGTTCAGTGGCTTACATGGGCATGCAATGAAATCACTATTTAGATTAAAGCAATCATTTGAAGGTGACGTCATTCAATAGCAGAATTGATTCTCAAGAAACTCCATTTTATATAATGGAAAATACCGTCCTCCAATTTAATCTGAGCTGCTATACCGTTTAGTGACAGCAGCTCATTGTATAAGTTTCTTTTTTGTACCATCAGAAAAGCTTTAAAAGGGTTTGATTAATAAAAAAGAGGAATAAATTTAGTCAATTGTTAAAAGCCGTATAAATGAGGTGCATGTTTAGTCAAACTTAGATATGACACGTCTGCATGTTCTTTTATAATTGACCTCACAGTTCTAGGATGGCCAGAAATTGCATGTTGGGTTGGTAACATCTTGTTTGCATTTCAGTATGTTTTTTCAGTGAGCCGGATATAAAGAGTAACCCGGCTAGTTCTTTCGTGTTTGATCAATAATAGCTCTTTGTTCTCTTTTACTGTCTGTCATTGTACTACCGGCCTTGTAAATCCTGGAAGAAACTACAAAAATTGTAACAACTAGACAAATTCTCATTGATGAGTGAGCTACAAAAGTGCTAACTTCATTTGGCACCATTGTAATCAACTTTTTCCCATTGTTATCGAGTTGTCTCCCACTCCGCTCAACTTTTTCCTCCTTTCTGGGGCTGACTTGCTCTCAGCATGCGCAGGAAGCAAGTTTTTCACATTGATTGGTGGGGGTGGGCCAGAAGAATGCCTGCTACTGGTCTACTTGTGCTCACATCCTGAAATGGTTAATCCTGTGATCACCAAGCCTGAGAGAGTAAGCAGCTTGCTTGTATTCGGCCCAGGTGAAAGGTCTGTAAAGCGATGGCCTCTGGGCGGTAACCATCTCCGGGAGAGCAGCTATGCAGGCATTTAGAGGTGGAGCCCCAAAAAATGCCATTGACATTCTGGACTTGTGTGAGTTTGTCATAGCCCTATGCCTTACACTTACAAATCTGCCATTTGTCATCACCTTCACATGAACAAAACCACACATCAGCTCCATCAATAATAATAATGGTCCGTCTCAGAGCGTATACTGTCACAAACACAATGCTTTTTATTCCGCTTTCTTGAGCAAACTACACTGTTTAAGCAAACTCCAATCTTTTTGTGCTTAAGTAAAACACTATTATATTCAGTTTGTTGGTGATATACATTGATCTGACTGGTTCTGGAATCTGAAATGGTGTGTGGACCTACGCAGTAAAGCTGAACTCAGAAGGCAACAATCTAATAGCAGTGATACCCACTTCATTTCACCTGTCTTGCAGCCGACTATTCTTGCTTTATTTGGGCCTTAGGATGGGACCCATAGTTACACAAAATAAGAAGAAAAACCTAGTACAGTCTTGGATATTGCTATGCATGGACATGATTACTGGTGGATATGAGGTAGAGATAGATACCTGTAAAGCATCACCAACATTAACAAAGAAAGCAGAGGGGTCAGGGGAAACGGGGAACCAGAGGCCATTGGGGAGGGAGATCTGGAGGCCAGCAACATCGTTGGATCTGAGGAGGCTCAAGATCTGAGGGTCAGAATGCTCGCCAAAGGCAACATTGATGTCCTTGAGAAGGAGAGGAGGGTAGTGATTGAGCCTGAGGAGAGAGTCACTTTCATGGTGTCTGAGGAGGTTGCTGAAAGCCATAGTATCGGGGACCCCCAGACCCTCTGCCATTAGCTCCAATATCTCACATGCCAGCTCCCTCACTGCTCCTACGTATTCACTCACACTACACCTGTCATCATTGTACACACATTTCATGCTCAATTCACATGCCTTTCCTTTCCTCCTCCCACACTTCAAAAATTTGCCCCACCCCCACTTTGATTCCAATAATTAATTAATTTATTAGTACTCTGTTGCTTCAGAATTCAACATCATAGATTCTCAGTTTGTACTGTACGGTCAAAGCAAAAGATACTTCAGAGACTTGCATGTTATTTTGACTGGGAGTAAAGTAAACAGTTGTTGTTAAATTATTAATGCAAAAGGAAAATTATTGCTCAATCCGCATGAGCAATTATACTGGAAATGACAAGAGAACGTAACTATTATCAACTCAAGAACTCTAAAATTTTTAGATGGCAAATTACTTGTATGAAGTGTACATTAATTCTTTTCCTGATAAAAAGTAAGTAGTTGGTTGATTTGACATTACATTGTCAACTTCCTGATCACATGGTGTACAGCAATATTTAAAAAATTGAGTTCCATTCTTATGGGATGGTACATTGCAGATAATTATTGCATATTACAGTTACACGTGACAAAAGCTAACGGTTAAAAGCAACTACTTCACTTGCTGAAAGTGGATAGGCTTTGCGAGCTAAGGCTGCCAGTAATAAAATCAGGGAAGATATTATTCTAGTAACAATGATTTATTAACTTTTTGGATTTTCATGTTTGATTTGATGGGACGTTGTTAATGTATCCATGACACGTCATTCTATCAGTCGTTTCAATTCAAAAGGTACTTGAAATGAACCCCCACTCTTTACCTCTCATATTTTATTCTTTTTTCTTTTTTCTGAAATTTATATGAATTTTTGACACTAATGTATTTGAAAATTTTGATTATATAATGCTTCTTAATCATTAAAAAAAATAGATCACGATAAAAGCTAACTGACAAGGATTAATTGGAAATATTATAATAATAAGTAAAAAAAAAAGAAGGGGCTTTTAAAAAATAAAGTTTAATAAACTCAAATCATGAATGACTTGGCATGGGTGCGGATTTTTTAAGGAAGGCTGACATGACATATATGTCATTCAAAGAAAAGAGTAAAAGGAGGTAACATGTTTCTGACAAATACTATCTCACCTTCTAGGACATTTTTTTCCCTCTGTAGTCCCCATGTGCCATCAGAATTGGTTTTCCCCCAACAAATTGCGTTATACTCAGATTTTAAATATAAAATCTATTTTATAATATAATTTATATTATAAAATTGATTTTTTTTGATGAAGTATAAAATTGGTTTTATATATTAGAGAAGTACTATCTATTATTAAATTATATTTTAATTGTTTTTTTATAGATAAACAAATGATTATTTGAGCACAAAAATATTATTTCAACTTTCACGCCAAACCAAATTTTTGGAAAAAGAAAAATTCTGTAAGCTCAATATATCAATTATATTAAAGTATTTATAATTAAGGTTTTTTTTATTTATTGGTTGTTATGATCTTGACATAAAATGGCCGCCCAGCGTAACTAAATATAAATTTCTTACCAACAGGGAATAATAGTATTCCAATAGAAAATTTGATGTTCTTCCCCCAAAATAAACTTGCACCAATGCCATGCAAACTTAAATTAATCACTTTATAATACATATTATAATGAGAATAAAGAAATCTATACAAATTATGTATTTCAAAAATAAAAAACACATTTTTGAATAACGTTAAAAAAATTTAAAAATTTTGGATAAAGAAATTTGACGTCCCAAAATATCACAGCAACAGATAAGCAAAATCTTAACATAGGAATAATATAAAACTAACAATACATCAGCAGACAGATGGAAAAGATTAACAGTTTATTATACCTTATAGGTCCCAAGAATTAACAGGCAAAGTATATTTTTAAAAAATGGTGGCTATCATTGCTGTTTATTTCCATATGTATAGACACACACACACACACACACCACAGCTTTATTTTTTGCCAGCAATATATATACCACAGCTATATATATCTTCATAATTGAAAGATATTATTCCTCATACCCGGAAGGAAGTGAACAAAACTAATTAAACCAGCCTACGATGGTTTGTGGTTGAATGGTCTGATTACTTTCAAAACTTTCTGAATCTTTTCGCAGTAAGAGAGAAAGGGGAGGGAAAATCATATTATATATATATATATATATATATATATAGACACACCAAGCATGCAATAAATGAAACTAATATGAGTGGATTATGGAGAGGAAGGAAAGTAGAAAGTGTGTATATATATAAACCTGAAGCTTGGGGGGGTTAGCTGGGAGAAAGATGAGGAAGAAGGAGAAGCGTTGAGGAGAAGGTAGTCGAGGCAGCCGACGTCTCCGCTTAAGCCGATGGTGTTGGAGCCGTAGCCGGCGACGGCATGCTTCTGAGCCACCGGTTTGGCGAAGAAGGCGAAGGCTTCTTCTTCCATGGTGGTGATGATGTGCTCCGGCACACCATGCTTCACCACCTTGAAGAAGCCGTACTCTTGGCTCGCTTTCACTATCTGCTCCGACACCGCCCACCTCTCCGCCGACAGGTCCACACTCGGAAGCTCTAAAACCGCCGGGTTTGCAGATGCCATCACCATTGAATCTCTCTCTCCTCTCCTCTCTCTCTCTCTCTCTCGGTGTCTGCAGAAAAAGGAGGAGATAGATGGAGCCCTTATTAGTTGGATATTGAAGAACAAGTTGGTGAGGAATCAATGGGCTTTATATCTGAAAACCAGCAGAGAGTACTGTGTTTTCGCGTGATGGATCCATGAAATAACAAAGAGAATTAATAGATACAGTTCAATAATTAATTTTTGTATGATGCTGCCTTTTTATGGTTATTTTTGTACTGAAAATATTTCCCAAGAAATTATAAGCATTCCGAAGCTTTCTTTTATTTAACAACACCCCAGAAATATTTAAATGAAAAAAATAGAATAAGTCTTTCATGAATTTTCTTTAAATTTGTTTAAATTACAGTTAGTTTAATTACATGTAACGTAAAAATGATAATAAAGTAAACTCTCATGTCATAAATATAGGACGAGGCAGTCTAATGAAAATATTCTCCACATATAATCGCTTAGCTTGGAGAGGCTCATTAACTTGATGAGAGTGACGCAAACCCAACTCTCTAAGGAAGAAAAAGAGCATCCTTTCTGAATAAATGCCATTTTCTAAAAAATAAATAGATATAACCAAACTAATCTTATTAATAATAAAAATATATATAAAAAATAATTTACTTAAGTGTTTTTATCGATCTATTATCGAGTACAAACTGGGGGTACAGAAAAAGGAGTCCTTGTTTGGGAAATGAGAACTTCCGTTTCACTTTTTTTTTTCCTTTTTGTATTTTTTGTCTTAATTAGCCTAACTTTTGGGATTCGTACGGTATTATGCACTAGGGTTTGGGCAATATATGATATATTGGCGGCTTCAAACTCTAAGGGGGTGTTTGGATAGAAACCAAATCATGGTTTCAGAAGTGCTTTTACGGATTACGAAGTAAATATGTGGAGGAGATTACCTCGTTTTGCGGAAAAGTGCTTCTGAAACCATGGTTTGGGGTTTCCCAAACACCCCCTAAACCTGTAGCTCAACCGCTATCAAACACCTGCCTTGTGAGAGTGAGGTTGTAAATTCAAACCCATTCATAAAGATTATAATAAATTATGATGAAATAAAAATTGAGACTGAAATTTAATTCTTTTGTTCAAAAACTAGAATGCACAAACTGATAAGATCGATAAGAATGTTGACGTTCTTCAATATTCTTTCATTCATGGCTTTCCATTCCACTCTGTGTGTGTTATATGGTTGGTCCCCCAACCCACTGCTGCATTTCACTGGCTCACACATGTTAAATGTTTTTTGTTTCTCGACCACAGAAACTCAGATAATTAATGGTAAAAATACATATACAAACACCGTAATATAAATATAAAAAACAAAAACAAAAATATTCAGAGTTTTCTTTTTTAAAATTTTTTCGGGCCAAAAGAGTTCTAATTTAAGTAATTATTATGCTTAGGTTCAATTTCGTGCAATTAAATTCATTCCATGAGTCGGAACCGCAGCAGTGGGGGGGGAGGGACAACGTATTTTAGTACAGATTTCTCTTGCATGCAATTGTATTAAAATTAAAAATCATGTTACCAACAAGCTGTTGTTTGAGATAGTAGGTGGTCTCACCTGTAAAAAAAAAATACAATTTGAATTCCGAAAAACATACTTATTGAGGGGATTTTAACCTTAATATTCACTCAAAGTGGTTTAAGAATACTCTAGTTATACCGTCACGTCTGGTCGGGCATATGCATGTTAGGAAAATTTATAAAAGAGACTATATATATATATATATATATTCTGTAACTCTTATATTATAAGGCATTTTTTAAAAAAAAAAGATTACACAATTATTACACGTCATCAAGCACCGATAAATATGTAAAGATCCCAATAATTGAATTATTTGGTTTAATATATAGAACTATTAAAATTAATTTAAAATAATAAATATGTAAAAAATATATATAGTTTTTTTCCTCAAAAGACTCCTTTATTTATAAGTAAGCAAATGACATAGGGTAATAAGGAGGAAAAAAATAGAAAAATGCATGAAAACAATTAATTAGAAGTAAAATTGATAAAATTGCATTTAATACGTATGCAACCCTAAAATAATTATTATAAAAAGGACGAGGGGATTTAAAAATTTAGATCTTATAAAAAGAGGCAAAGGGGGAGTAATCCAAGAAATTGCCAACCATATCATATCACACGCACATTATTGTGAGAACATCTACATTAATACATGCATGACTTCCTGTTGAAATTACAAACAAACAAAACCTTACAAATTAAGCTACATTGTTACATTTTACAGGTTATAAACAACATGATTAACTATATATTTCAATGTTGAGATAATTATTGTACTTAAAAAAACGTGTAATTAATTAGCTAGATATATCATAAATAAATGAACAGTGGTGTTTTTTACGAGTACTGTTTGGGGATTCAATTATTAATGTTACATTATACACCAACATGCCCCTTGTCATTATTATATTCTTCAATAATTGTCCACCACCAACCTCTCTGCCTCTCTCACCATTCACTCTTTCTGTTTTCTTGCTTCTCGCCTCCTTCTTCTTGTTCTTATATTTTTGTTACCAAAGAGAAATATTAACCTCTCTCTCTCTCCCCCCCGGCCCCCCAAAACATAAGTACTCAGTTATTAAAATTTACAGAGATTAGAAAACTGATTTTTGTCTAAAATATTTTCTCCTTCTAAATCTACTCCTTTTTTTTTTAATTTTATGGTGATAAAACCATTTATATGGAAAGATGATTTAAAACGTCCTAAAATTTTGAATAAGGTGTTAAAAGGGGACTATTGTTTACAATAATTGGGTAATATATCTACGGACAAAGGGAGTACTATACACGTTAACTTCATAAAGAGTGCATTTATCAAGCCAAACATTCTTAGAATTACAAAATCAAATTAAAGCATCACATTTAATATTTATATTAGTACTAATAATAGTAGTGAGCGAAGAGGATGGTGGATTTATCACCCCCATCGCCAAAGCAAAACACATTCCCTCTTAATTAGCAAGTAAATTAAGTTGTTTTGTTCATTCATCTACAAATCCAAACAAGAAAGGAATTCCTAAAATTTATGATGGTTAATGATCAGTTTCACCGTTATTTTTCTATTTACATATTATAATTAATAACAAATATTATAATTATTTATGAAATTATATGTAATGGATTGAAAATGATACTTAGTTCTGCCTTTGTTCAGACTTTAAATAATAAATATAGGTACAAGTGTATTTTCCTTTAACTCCGCACAATTTTTTTTTCATTTCTTAATTTTATAAATTTTTGCGAGTCTTCTGGCCCTAACATTAATGATTAGTTTTATTAATAAAACATATGAACATTAAAATTTTAAATGCTCATAAAATATTTTTAATTCTTCACAATAATAATTGGAAAAAATATTATTTACAATTAACGATGTCAGCATCAGAAAATTAAAATATTTTTAAAATTAAAAGACTAAACTAAAAGCTTAAATAAAATTGAAGAAATAAATGTACCCTTTTCAGTTTTCATAACCATGTAATCATTGGTCAATTCTCAACTCTCTCTCATCATGACTTTTCAGAGTATTAATCAAACTTAAAAATTGAAACCCATCCATTGATGTTTCTTTTCAGTGAACCAAAAAAGGAGAGGGAATGATTTTTTATTTTACGACAGATGGAAATTTCGTAGAGAGACTCGTTTTTATTATTTAATATTTAATATTTTAATAATATCCTTATAAAATAAATCTTAGCCATTAAAGTTTAATCTAATGATAAAAATATTAAGTGGAAAGGAAATGGAGAGAGGAGTTAGTGGAGACATTCCTCTCCTGTTCTGTGTAGGTTTTAGTTAGTTTTGGTCCGTCAATGATAGATTATGCTAAAATAATATTATATTTTGTTTTTAATATAAGAGTTCATTTGATTTTTATTTTGATCATAAATATAAAATCCCAATTCATTTTATCTCTCATATTTATTTATTTTTCTCAATGTATTATCATAACAATGGTAGTTATAGACAATATACTTAATTAACAAAGATATTTTAGAAAGACAATACTTTTTATTACAAATAACTAACTTAACTAATTTTATTAATCTAATCAAATTAGTCAACTAACCCTTATATTATGAACTGGGATAGTAATATACACAGATTAGACAGGAAAAATACTACCTCTGGTTCTAATTATAAAATCTTATATGCAGACTATAAATAAGGTCTTATAATTAGAACCGAATGTAGTATTTGCTTGTTATTAGTGGATATATTAAAAGAACTGATGGTTTTATTTTTTAAATTCTATACATTATCTTTAATCACATTGACAAATTAAAGTGGACTCATTTTAACAGATTAATAACTTTAAGTTGAGTGTGATTTCCGTCCGTTACGTTTTATCTCAATATTCTGGAACTAGATAAATCCAAATGAAATAATAGGTGAAATCTGTATATCATATAAAATTTTTTAATACTTAAATTTACACACACATGAATATTTTTAGTTATAAAATATTTTTTGCATTATGTTTTATGTGCCAAAAGAAAAGGAATGTTTCACAATATATTTGTATGACTGAGGGCTTCTCATGATCGAGACTATTAAACTAAAATCTGAAATAATTGGGAGCCTGATAATTTGTTATTGAAAAAAAAAATTGAACAGTTTAAATTTCACTTCAAAACGAACACCACTTATTCATCCTTAAAATGAGCAGGAAATTCAGGCCCACAGTGTCTTGGCATGGACATGCCTTTTTGAATTTGTTGCGAAACATGATAATAACACAACCAAATAAAAATCCCACACACACACGTATACGTACATCAATCCCATTTATATATTTATATATATATATATATATATTGTGCAGTACTCCAAAGAAAAGAAGGACCCATAGATTATTTGAAATGAGTTTCATCATAATATTTCCTAATTTTTTCTTTTTATAATACTCATACCTTTTTTCAGCTACTTGAAG